TTTTTATAACGGATACAGTATATTCAGGCCTAGCATTATCGATCGATCACGCTGCAATTAATTTATAATATCGATGCGTATCGCGAGATGATTGTAATTCTTTCACCGTTAACAGAATTCGAAGAATTCGCAGGCTTCTAGATATTTCAGGGCCTGCGATGTGTTGGTTGTAAGTAAAATTATTATATCAGATGAAAAAAATTTACTAGAATAGATTAGGTCGAAATTGATTCTTGTTTATGTTTGATATATCATCCTTGCGACTCATTGATTGCAGATGGTGCATCCGAAAAGCGACGAGCAACGGCAGAGGCTTGGTGACAGCGTGAAACATATTCTCCTGTTTCGTGCTCTAGACGAGGTAAGTTAAACATAGTACACGTACACTCTCTGGCCAGCGCATAATTGAAATAGGGTTCGCGCGCCGACTCGTGGAAATGCCAATGAGTACGTGTAATCTGCTTCAACTTGGACTCAGACTCACGGATATGAATTACTTCAATGAGAAAAATAGCTTGAATGACTTGATCAACATAGAAATATAAATTCCTAATGATCGAGAAAATGCTGCTCTTACTCCGTTATTTTTAATTTTACTTGGATATGTTGTTGTGGAATGTTATGTATATAAAATTCCATAGTTATAAGCAACTGTGAAGCATAGGCTAAAATATATATGTAGTAGCCAATTTTGGATCACAGAATAGAAGACTTTGTCTTTGTCTTTGGTAGAGTTCATTCATGACTGCTTCAATTCAATTTCATTTCAAAATATTTTTCTCGCAGGTTTCCTTCATACCTAATTACGTCTGTAGATTATCAATCTTCTGTTTTAAATTAACTCCTCGTTCATTTGACTTTTTTTCTTATTTTCACTAATCGATTATACTTTGGTAATTTAAAAAAAAAAAAAAAATGGGAAACACTCTGTATGTTAGTTCATTTTGTATAATATATGTATAATGTATAATTATCCTTTCAATTACATAGAGATATTATCTTTCGTGTACCTGTAGAAATATCCTGATTCGAAATATCAAAAGTAAAAGTTTTCAGTCACGAAATATTTACGACACGCATGCACGCATATGCGTTGCATGAACTTCTTACAGGAACAAATGGCGGACGTGCTAGACGCGATGTTTGAGAAAAGTGTGCAGTCTGGAGACTTCATTATCCGGCAAGGTGATGATGGTGACAACTTCTATGTCATCGAAAGGTAAAACATGTTCTTATTTCCATTCTCGTAGAAAAGTGCGAGATGGAATTGATCGTTTAAAAGATACACCATTCAATTGTTATGCCTATTTCAGAGGAAAATTTGAAGTGTACGTGAAAGATCCACAGTCGGGTGTGGAATCCATGATACATACGTACGATAATCGTGGTGCTTTTGGTGAACTTGCGCTCCTTTACAACATGCCAAGGGCGGCCAGTATCAAAGCTATCACGCCTGGCACACTATGGGCCATGGATAGACAAACTTTCCGGCGTATTTTATTGAAATCCGCCTACAAGAAGCGCAAAATGTACGAAGACCTTATCAATAAGGTCCCGATGCTGAAGTATCTCGAGGCAAGTTTTATGGAATTATTTATAGCGGAAGACATCGCGGTATATACGTGAATAAAAGATTACGTGGAAGTGGATATTGCTTCATCGTTTAAAGATCTGAGTATATTATATATAAGGATGTTCTGTTTTGATTGATGTTAACAGCTGACCATTTGCAATCCCTAGTATATTACTGAATTTTGGATGAAGCGCAAAGGAGTTTGATTGCCAAGAAACGTTCAGCTATAATTGAAGTCGTTAACGTCGTTTGTTTCGTATTTCATTGTTTCATAACGGACGAATTCAGTGTTAACTTTGGTGTAATATAATTATAGGAATAATAATAATAACTGAATAATAGCATTTCAATTTGATTCTCTTCAGCCGTACGAGCGTATGAACCTGGCGGATGCTCTGGTACCAAAACAGTATTCAGATGGCGAACAGATTATCAAACAGGGCGACACAGCCGATGGGATGTATTTTGTCGAGGATGGCGTCGTCAGAATCACCATAATAGGAGATCACGGCCGCGAAATCGAGGTACGGCAGCAGCTTGTTGATTTTCGTTTTTTCCAATGTGTAAACATAATTGCAACGATCATTGACCTATATATAGCTTGATGCAGTACGAAGTTGATATCATAGTTACCTAGGAAACTAAGCGTACTAATTACGTTTTCAATTGTATGGATGTCAATTTGGTATTCTGTTTGATACTATAGATTAATAGAGTTCCCGCTGGTGGGTACTTAGGCGAGTTGGCGCTGGTGACACATAAACCTCGCGCTGCTTCGGCCTACGCTGTGGGCGACGTAAAGCTGGCCTGTAAGTTGCCTTTTCACATCCTTCAGATTGAGTTACTCTGCGCTAATGTGTTTATTTATGTATCTATCATTTATACATTTGATCCCCATATTACGGCACGAATACGTGATCGTTACAACAATATCGGTGTGTCTATGGTGTACATATGTGATTTAATTTGAGGAAAATGCAGTCATAAAATTGCGTGTCTCTTTCTTTATACAACTTTTTCAGTTTTGGACGTTGAAGCTTTCGAACGCTTACTTGGGCCTTGCATGGAACTTATGAAGCGTAATATCGACGATTACGAAGATCAACTAGTCAAAATCTTTGGCAGCAAAGCTAACATTTCTGATATCCGATGAACTGTTCGCGAGCAGTGGATACGTTGCACTGCTGTACTAAAGATCCGACACTTTCGTACAGTAATGTAAAATGAGCACAAACTTGTACCACCCACTTTATGAATCTCATCCGCGTATTTTCAAGTATCATCTCGAGTCGACTTTCGTAATGACTGTTCACTTAGACGTATACCAGTAAGAATCGTCGTTAATAGTTACCAAGTTTGTACCTATGACACACAGTGAAAAGATAACAAAAAGAGGGAAAAACATTAAAAAAGAGAGAGAGAGAGAGAAAACTATAGGCACCTCGCCTGGTTTGTATCTGTATCACAGTACTGAAGTGAATTTTCTAAGACTGCATCAGATCAAGAAGTATTAGCCTGTCTTGTCATGTGCTCGAAACGTTTACAAAATAGAAGCCTGAATACTAAATAAGATTTTCATTGAACTGTTCGTTAAAAAAAAAAAAAAAAAGATGGAAGGAAAAAAATACTCGAAGTGATGCAACGTGATGCAAATGATATATCTTTATGCTATTGTTTACTATTATACTTGACAACTTAAGAGCTGTATTCCATTTTACTGAAAATGTCAAGAGTCATTGAATTAAATTATTTCGTATACTTCGATGATTCATCGAAGAAGATACTTTAGGGTATCTTACATTCTTCACAAAGTAGAATTTTTATTGATACAGCTTATTATGAAAATACTAGCTTAGTTATTAAATTATTAGACAATGATACAGACACACATGATAAACATAATCATCAGTGTGTTTCTACCATGATGGTAACAATAAATTATAGCTGAAACGCTATATTAGAAAAATTGAAAATGTAAGAAGACAGAGAGCACAACAGGCAAGTTAGAGCAATTATTATTATCTACACAATTTTTAAATGCAAACCAACTACTATTTTCTATAATCAGGCATTTATGTTCATCTTTGAAGGAAGGAGGGAGGATTGAGAATGTAAGAGGAATATCATTTCATATATATTCTTTAGATATTTCATCTAACAATATCTAAATAAAAATCATCTTTCTTTCTCATTTTTTTTTCTGTATATTAAACAGAATGATTTTCTTAATTCTCATGTTCCTAATTTTACGGTTTGCTCTACATTAAAGAGTATTATGAAATATATATACATATTTTCACGTAGCGCACAATAAAACATTTATTTCATTGTTTGTTAAATATATGCGCACACAAATAGTGTTTGATTATTATTATTCTATTTGCATATATATATATTTGTTAATGTTTATGATTATTTGCTACAAATTGAAGTAAAATACTTGCTGTAGCGCACATAGCCAATATATTATACATCGGAAAACAATACATTTTTCGATGATCTACTCAATTGATACACAATATTCATGATAACATTATTTTACGAGTGAGTTATTTTCAAAAATCAACGCTACACCTTACCATGAAAGAAGATTAAACAAACATGTGCAGCCATTATTTTTTTTTATAATTTCAGAGATTATGTAGTTTATTAGAATAATAAATGTGCTTGCAAAAATCTAAGATCACTCTTGAAGATATGAAAAGGAAAGAAACAAGCAAGTACATCTTTTCAATTATGTTATTTTTTTATCTGTCAAGATCTTTATACTCGTTGATGTTATTTGCAATATACTTCAACTTCAAATATTTTATGATATCATTGTGAAAGAAATGGCTGAGTAATGTGGCCTCAGATCATATTCATGTGTGTCTTTATTGGTGAATGGTAACAACCTGGTAACAAAAATCGACCAAAATAAACCTATAAACTATTTTTGTTACACGTGTATGATACACGTTATACATGTATGATATACGTCTGGCATCGTGATAAAACAAAAAAAAAAAAAAAACAGTTTGAACTAATTTGAACGTTGTGCGAATAAGTGCGTATGCTAGTCACTTTTTAACGGCCGTCTATTTGTCGTGTTTTCTTCTCGGTAAATCGAGAGAAAAAAAGACGGTCAAATGTTTTATTACTATGAAACAAGAACTACATATTCGCTGTGTGACTGAAGTTCAAAATAATATCACAATATTTCTAAATAATATCACAATCACGGAGGAGAAAGGAGGAGAAGACTAGTAATGGAGAAAAAAAATAATATACTAGGTAGAGATTGTTAGCGAAACGTTGCGTTGTTAATTCATGCATTCTCGTTGAGTTTGCTCGTTATCGAACTTCTAAGTTTGTATAAAACAAATGACGAAATATCGAAGAAGCGTACATAGATCAAATTTTTTTTTTT